GTGTTGACTGGGTGAGCCCTGCTGGTGGGCTCAACACTTGGGGGACCTGCGCGCCTCATCCCGTAGTCTTCACCGTACACACCCTGTCCCCCTCTCCTCGGCCCTGGCCCGAACCCCAATCTTGGCCCCCCCACTGTGTTTTCGCAGGGAGGGGGTGGACCTCATACAAACTGGACCACATGACTTCTCAGAAAGCTGCCACCAAGTGCTGGTATCCTGGCAACCACAGGATCAAAACAAGCTTGGAATAAAAGATGGAAAAGGAGGGGAGGGAAGAACTCACGGGACCCCCGTCACCCTCACAGCGACCCTCTGTGGGGGCCCGAGCACCTGAGTCTGTGGTCTGCAGCCTGTTTGAGGAATTCCCACCCTAAACTTGTGTACTGTCTCAGACTGCCCGGAGCAGAGAAGCATACTTGAAAATGCTCGGGAGACAGTGTCCCTGTGGGAATGAGTTCTGGGGATAGCAAGGCAGGCAGGCAGCTGGATACCCCAGGGGCCAGGAGCACCTCGGGTGGGGGAACATCTGGGTGGTGACATCTCAGTGGGGAGCACTCCGAGTGGGGACCTTAACAATGGGGAGCACCTGGAGGTGGTAGGGAGCACCTGTGGTGGGGAGCTCCTCGGTGGAGGCATCTAGGAAGGACTGGACAGTCTCTGAACTATAAACCCTAGCCTCAGGAGCCTCGGAGTCTTAGCCTGGTGGTTCTGTAGGCCCCACTGATGGAACCCCAGAAGGCAGAGCTGTGGAAGACTGTTCCCACCCAATGGTCTCTCAGGACTTCATTGGAGTAAGAGGTTGCCCACCTGAAGTAATGTGTGAAGCAGCCAAGCATGCATGAGGTAAGCTGGAGCCTGGAGCACTGCCTGTGGGCCTGGAGCACTGCCCGTGGGCCCGGAACACAGCCCTCTAGCTGTGGGGGTCTCAGCATCCATGACCCATGGTTGGCATGAAGGGTGGCTGAGGGGGAAGTGGGGCCCTACCGCTCCAGGGGAGCCCAGCCATCCACAGCGCATGTGAGGCCTCCTGTGTCTGAGACCCCAACACCCTCTGGACCAACTACAGCTGACTCAAAGCCACCCAGAAAGCGTCACGTCTGTATTGAACATTGCGGTGGCTTGAAGGAAATGTCCCCCGCAGTCCTGCGCATTTGAAGACTTGGTTTCCCAGTCGGGGCTGTTTTGAGAGTTTTGGGTGGCACAGCCTTGCTGGGGGGAGGTCCGTCACTGGGGGCGGTCTTTGAGAGCTTAAGACTTTGCTCGACTTCTCGGTGGCTCTCACGGCTTCCTGCACGGCAACCATGTTTTCCCGACATGAGGGCCTTGTCAGCCCAAATAAACCCTCCCTCCTCTAAATTGCCATGGTCATGGTGCTTTACCATGGCAACAGAAAAACAATGGAAACAAACATTTTGGACTCCTTTTCCCTGAAGTTGGTCCCTGAACCGGGCAGGTGACAAGGACCACGGCACTCCAGCCTAGGGTCCCAGTCTCAGTCCTCTGAGATGACTGTGCGGAGAGCATGCTGGGAGACGGCAGGGACTTGTAGGGATAGGACATTTTGCCAGGCAACTCTCTACCACCGTGACAAAATACCCCTGAGACAGAGAGATTTTAAGAGGGAAAAGGTCTGTTTAGGCTCAAGGTTTTGTAGGTTTGTATCCATGCTTCTTCTTTTTTTTTTTTTTTTTTTTTTTTCCGAGACAGGGTTTCTCTGTGTAGCTTTGAGCCTTTCTTGGATCTCACTCTGTAGACCAGGCTGGCTTTGAACTCACAAAGATCCGCCTGGCTCTGCCTCCCGAGTGCTGGGATTAAAGGCGTGCGCCACCGCCGCCCGGCTTCTATCCATGCTTCTTAAGCTTTTCACTTTGGGCCTGTGGTGCAAAGTACATGGATGAAGGAGCCAGGAAGTAAGTGTGTGTGTGTGTGTGTGTGTGTGTGTGTGTGTGTATGTGTGTGTGTATGATTGTGTGTTCATGTTCATGCCCTCCCGTGTGTCCCAATATCCCCACCTCAATGACCTCAATGGCATTGCCCCAATGACCCAACTTCTTCACACTAGGCCCTGCCTCCTAAGGCTCCACAGGCTGCAGCCCATAGGAGATGCCCTGTGGCTTCCGCCTGTCTCCCTGCGGAGGACTGGCTACCCCCCTGTGAGAACACTCAAGCACCCGTGGAGAGGCTATGAAGTGAGGACCCGGAGCCTGCAGCCATAGACAGCTGTATGTGAACCCCTGTGAAGGTGCGAGCCCTTGACTACACCCTCAGAGGAGCCCCCAGATCAGAACCCCGGGCCGGAGAGCCACTTCTCAGTCTCTATGGACAGTTCTCAGCTGCGATCTGCAGGCGTCTCACGGGCAGCGGCCAACAAGGAGTCCGGTTCCTTCACTGCCATTCGGGGTGCATGCTGGCAAGGGACTGAGGGGGAGGAGGGGACTGTTCTGTCTCCTTGTCAGGCTGCCAGCATTGTCCCTGCAATTTCCTAAGATTGGGGGGGACCAAAAATACCCTTGGTAAGCTGCAGTTGTGAGGGGAACACCTGCTCCTCAGAGGCACAGAGTGGATAGATCTCAGAGGGAGAGAGAAGGATCAGCAGATAGGGACAGCTGTGTGGGGAGCAAGCCAGAACCAAGGCAGACTCAGCTCATCCCTGGGGTCCCTCCACGGAGCTGAAGGGGGTGAAGAGTCTGAGCACAGACAGAGGATGGAGTGAACCAGAAGGAGCTACTGCTGCTGTAAGTGCCGAGGCTCTGCTGGGGATCCTGGGGTGCTTACGCTCAGTGCACCCCGGTGGACATCCACCTCATCGACTGGACTGGGATAGAGTCACCCGGAAGACACGGCTCTGAGCGTGTCTATGAAGATGTTCCCAGAGAGGTTCAGACTTAATCTGAATGTGGGTGGCACCATCCCATGGGATGGGGACCTGGATGGAAGAGAACCAGCCTGGATCTCTCTCTGTCTCCCGACTGCAGACGCAATGTGGCAGCTGCCTGGCACCCTGTCACCATGCCTTCCCACCGTGATGGGCTGCCCCTCACCTGTGAGCTGCAGTAAGCCCGCCCTTCCTGAAGTTGCTTCTGTCCTGTTCTGTGCAGCAACAAGAAGCAGCAGGTTCTGGAGACCTGGGGCTCGGGCTTCTGAGACTTGGGCTTGTGGCCAGGTCTACAGGGTTAGAGACAGCGTGGCGTTCACAGGCCACAGCAGACCTCACATGATGCTTGCTACCTGCCCTCATTTGGATCTGGAGTGTTCTTCCCCCAGAGTCCCTCATGTTGAAGTCAGGGTATGGGCTTACCATACCTCCACCCCGCTCACAGCCAGGGACCTCACCGTCCCTCTAGGATGAGGCAAATGGTTCTGGGCCATCTGCTGCAGTGTGTGATGAGGTTAAAAGGCAGGGACCATCCTCAGCTTGGCTCAGCTGCCCCGTCTCATTTTCTTGTTAAAAGCCAAACACGGGCCGGGCGGTGGTGGCGCACGCCTTTAATCCCAGCACTCGGGAGGCAGAGCCAGGCGGATCTCTGTGAGTTCGAGGTCAGCCTGGACTACCAAGTGAGTCCCAGGAAAGGCGCAAAGCTACACAGAGAAACCCTGTCTCGAAAAACCAAAAAAAAAAAAAAAAAAGCCAAACACGGTCTCTTTTCTCATTGTGTGTTCTGAAATAAATCCTGATGTCCCAAGTCTAAGTGGATATCCTGGGCTACACAGGTCAAGGGTTATGTTCAGGAAGCAAAGCATGCTGGGAGCCTTCCCATTCTGTCCTTGATCTATACTGTCCTGGGCCCAGTGGGGGCACTGGCTTAGACAGCAACATCTCTTCCTTGGTGTCCCCGTCACCAATGACACATTGCCAATCCAAACCTCTCTTTGTATTCCTATGTAGATGCTGAGAGGGGAAGAGAAAAGTACATAGGGGGAATATGGAGGTGGGGAGGGGAGAGGGAAGGGGGAGAGGGAGCTCCTGAGCACACCATTTTGGATCCAGTCACCTGTTACTGTTCCTGCTGCCTTAAAGATGGGGTCTCACAGAGGTTGAAGAGGAAGAGAGAGCTGAAAGGATAGTGTATCAGCCTGGCGGTGGTGGCGCACGCCTTTAATCCCAGCACTCGGGAGGCAGAGCCAGGCGGATCTCTGAGAGTTCGAGGCCAGCCTGGTCTACAGAGCGAGATCCAGGACAGGCTCCAAAACTACACAAAGAAACCCTGTCTCAAAAAACCAAAACAAAACAAAACATAAGAACAACAACAACAACAAAAGAATATTGTATCAACGCCTGGACCCAGCCATACCTGAAGCAAGTAACATTTTTTTCCATCTTACTCGAAACCCTTTGCATTGAAGCTCACGATCTCTGGCTGTTCTCATTGCTTAATCTCACTTAAAAACTGGCAAGTAGGGGGAGGGGAGATGGCTCAGCAGTTAAGAGCACTGGCTGCTTTTCCAGAGGACCTAGGTTCGACTCCCAGCACCCATATGGCAGCTCACAACTGTCTGTAACTCCAGATCTGACACCCTCACACCAATGCACATAAAATAAAAAATCAAATCAATTATTTTTTTTTTAAAGCGGCAAAGGAAGTCGCAGACACGTTTGTGTTTGGGCCCTCAGGTTTGGGTTGGCCTGGGCTGGGCGTCAAGATGCCAGATGGCCAAGTGATCTGCTGCCGTGGTGTCGCCTGGAAGTCTGCTCTGCCGGCTCCAAGTTCAGGCTTTGGATCCGGGGGAAGCCCTGCATCCTGACTCAAGCCTCAGTTTCCCCCTGTGTAATTTGTAGATCCCAATGCTTTCGTTCTAGGGCAGCGTGGGGACTCAGGGAGGTCACAAATACTGAATGTGCAGCCCGGTGCCCAGCACAGAGGAAGCGGGGTCAGCTGGAGCTGTCTGTCTGCCCATTCCTGCAGCGTCCTGCCCGCCTTCTCTCCAGCCTGACCCACTTTAACCCACGCTTGGCCGGAGGCCCAGGCCCTGGCCTATTTTAGATACACCTCTTTTTGTCAGAGGAAAAAGAGCCTTGCGCAGGCCACCTCCAAACAGGGAGGCTCTTGTGGGGATGAGATGGCGCAGGAGCATGAGCTCGGGCAGGGACAGCCTGGGGCTGGATTCTTGTGGCGCTTGTCCTCTGCTCCGACCACTTGCCCCTGAGGGAAGGGCTCTGACCATGCCCAGAATCACGTTTTAAGGCATGATGGGAGGAGATGCCCGCTCTGTCCCTGTAGGGAAGGGATGAATGGGTCGGTTTGGGCTGAGAGTTCGGGTTCTCGGTCTAATAGCTGTGCAGTTCTCCGTGGCCACCGCGAGAGAGGAATCGGCTGGGATGTTTGCGTGGAGCGATGTGTGGGTGACTGTGACTTGCCCTCCAACCGTGGACACTGAGAGAGAAAACAGGCACCCAGGGAGCAGAGTCCAGCCAGGACTACGTATGTTGTCTGCCTCGTGACAAAAGACTTTCAGGTGTGGCTTGACCCAGGGGCTTAGACGATGTCATGAGGATCCTGTTTCTTTCTTTCTCTGGGTTTAAGGAACATTGCTGTATCTGTAACATGGGCATTTGGCTCTCAGAGGTCTTGGAGTATGCACACCCTGGGATGTTTGTAAGAGGTCCCGTGCGCACACATGTGTTTCCGGCATGCTTATTCATGCTATCTTTTTTTATGTAGAAACAGAGCCCCTGATTCATGAGGGTGCAGACCCTCTCATTCATACCCATTTTCCAAACCTCCAGGAAGCTGGCTCCACGCCCAGGATGCAGAGTGGAATGTTGTGATCACCTGGTGTAGTTGGCACAGACACCAGCCCGGCCACTCGCAGGCCTAGGTGTGGGGTGACGTGGGTGTGCCAGGCCTAGATCCCTGAGAACGATCAGGGCTTCCTCCCCGTGCTGGGGGGAGGGAGGGATGCATGAGGCAGGGGTGGATATAGAGATGGAGCTGCTGCTGCTGTTGCTGCTGCTGGGGTGTGGACATGACTCCAAGCTGCAGATTAGGAATGAGATAGGGTCCTGGGAACATCCCTGGAGCCCCTGGTCCAAGCTACACCTGAGATCTGCCCTTGGGCCGTTCAAATGCAGAAGCTCACACGACCCCTTCCTCAGGTCAAGTTCTCTGCCACCTGCAATTGACGACATTCTAGCTGCATATCAGGGTCCAGGGCGTTTTGTTCTGAGGGGATTGTTGATTGGGTAGAGTTGTTGGCTGGCTAAATCGGAACTCTAGTGGACTCCACTGTCTGCAAGGTCCAGCTTCAGAAGGAGTGGGGCTCACTCGTGGTCCCCGGCTTCTGGGCTGGGTTCGGCCACTTTATCTTGTGTAATTATTTTTTATATTGAGGCGCTCTGTGAATGCTACACAAACCTGTACCCCGAGCCACACCCCTGCCATGGCCACTTTAATATTATTCTTCACGGTCCCCAAAGGCTCCGGAGTCCAGTCACCCCCTTGGAAGTGGAGCGGACAACTTCTAGACGTAGGGACTAACTGACAAAGACAAATGGTATCAGGTCGCAGCTGAGCCGGCCCCGGTTCACTCCCTTTTATGGTAACGGCCAGCGTGTGGCCGCCCTGTCTCTAAGTGCCACCCATGTCACCGAGCCCCTGCGAGAACCTGGCCCTTGCCAAGTCGGTGGCAGATGGTTCTGTGGAAACCGGGGCAGGGGTGGGCCTTTGTCCAGGCTGCTCACCGCGGCGGCGGCAGCGGCAGGGCCCGGTGCTATCATGGCAAGTCACTTCTCCACTGGCCAGCTGGCTCCAGGCCCTGCGAGCCGTGGGGCCTCCGTGCTTTGAAGTAATTAATTATGCAGCATGGCAAGGAGACAGCAAGATTTAGAGCAGAGGCAGCGACAGATGGCCCCGGGAGGAAACCAGATCTTCCGGGAGACAGGATGGTTGTGGAGAGAGGCGGGCCTGTGTGCCTGTGTGTGTGCCCATGTATGTGCTGTGTGCCTGTGCGTACACTGTGTGCACATGTGTGCATGTGTGTGTATGCCTGTGTGTGCATCTGGGTGAATGAGCGTGCCTGTGTTTACATGTGTGCTTGCATATGCATGTGCATTCGTGTGCATGTGTATGTGTGTGCATGTATATATGCCTGTGTGTGCACCTATGTGTGCATGTATATGCCTGTGTATGTGTATAGCCTGTGTGTACCTGTGTGTGGGGGAGGATGTGTGCTTGTGTGTGTGAGGAAGGCTGTGTGTACAAGTGTGTGCCTGTGGAGGGTGTTGTGTGTCTCTGTGTGTGTGTGTATGAGGGGTTCTATGTGCCGGGGGTGGGGTGGGGCTGTATGCCTGTGTGCCCTGTGTGTGCATGTGTGTGCCTGTGTGTGTGTGTGGGTGCTGTGCCTGTGTTGACGGGGGAGGCTGTGTGCTTGTGTGTGAACAGCTGTGTGCTCTTCTCCTTCCCCCGCAGCTCCTTCTTCCCCTGGGGAATTCTGAATGTCCCACTTCTCAGTGGCTTCCAGGGTGTCTGTGCTGGAGGAGAAGGTGTCAGTGGGGAGAAACAGGGAAGTGATAAAACCATAGACAGGGTGGGCTTGGCTCCACGCCTGTGTGAGCTCTGAGCGGCTGCGCATTGGGCTGGAGTTTCTGGATCAGAGGAGCGATCCTGCCCGGGTGCCACCATTGCCCTGAGGTACCACCAACACCTCAGCACCGTCCTCACCAGGCCCCTCAGTCCCTGGAACCTTCACCATCAAAGTCTGCCTCTACTTCATCAAGACCTAGAACACTCACCTGGGGGCCACCAGCCTGCACCTAACAGTCCCCTGGGGGCCACCAGCCTGCACCTAACAGTCCCCTGGGGGCCACCAGCCTGCACCTAACAGTCCCCTGGGGGCCACCAGCCTGCACCTAACTGTCCCCTGGGGGCCACCAGCCTGCACCTAACTGTCCCCTGGGGGGCCATCAGCCTCCACCTAACTGTCCCCTGGGGGCCACCAGCCTGCACCTAACTGTCCCCTGGGGGGCCATCAGCCTCCACCTAACTGTCCCCTGGGGGCCACCAGCCTGCACCTAACTGTCCCCTGGGGGGCCATCAGCCTCCACCTAACTGTCCCCTGGGGGCCACCAGCCTGCACCTAACTGTCCCCTGGGGGCCACCAGCCTCCACCTAGCATCTTCCAGACTTTCCTTAGCCCTCAGAAACAGGTGAACATGTCTGTGGGACACCTGAGACCCCTTACAATCCTGGCCTTAGGTCCATCTCCCCATCCCTCCCTGGTGCCCTCTGGTGTCAGCTCTGCAGTTTCTGACCCTGTGCCCTTGGGAAGGCTGTTCCCTCTGTTTGGCTTGCCCCTTCCTTCCCTTGGTTTGCCCAGGAAGCCCTGGCCAGGCTCACGGTTTCCTCCACAGCCCTCTCTGGTGCCTGCCTCAAGCGTGTGGCCTGTTTTTTTTTTTTTTTTTTTCTCGAGACAGGGTTTCTCTGTGTAGCTTTGCGCCTTTTCCTGGAACTCACTTGGTAGCCCAGGCTGGCCTCGAACTCACAGAGATCCACCTGGCTCTGCCTCCCGAGTGCTGGGATTAAAGGCGTGCGCCACCACCGCCCGGCGTGGCCTGGTTTTTAACTGGCCTGAGTTGGAGATGCCATCAAAGTCCTGGTGAGTGCGCATGCTCCATAGAGCCCAGAAGGGGCGCTTCCAAGCCCTAGGCCAAGGGCGGAGCTGGGGAGGAGCTTGCTGTAGCCCCGCCCTCTTTGTCATTCCAGGGTACCAGCCTAGCTGAGCCTCCCCTCCACAAAGGGGCTGCAAAGCACCAGCCAACAGCAGGTGGAGCCTCTGGTCCCAGGCTGTGTTCTGAGACTCAGTGGACCCAAACAACAAAGGTGGAAGTGATTGTGGACCTAGCTGACTTCCGGAACTCCGCCTTAGCACCCTGCCCGGCTGCCATGGGAACACAGGAGTCCCCCATACACAAGGGGTGTGTTCAGATTCCCTCTATGGAGGCCTGAAAGTGGCGATACTGGCCTTGTGTGCACAGCGATGGTTAGTCATCATAGTAACCGGGCTGGATTTGGAGTCACCTAGGAGACACTGTGGATGCCTGTGGGTGGGTTCCCGGGACGGGAGATCTGCCCTTACTGTGGGCTGCACCATCCCTGGGCGTGGGTCCTGGGCCGGGTCAACAGGAAAATCAAACAGAGCGAACATCAGCATCATCTCCCTCTGCTTTCCTGGCTGTGATGCCACGTGGGCAGCCGCCTCGTGCCCTCCCTCCCACGTCACTCTGTGCCTCGGAAGTGCAAGCCACAGCCACAACAAGCCACCTTCCTTCAGCTTCCTTTGACAAAGTGTTTTGTGTCAGCAATGAAACAAGTGGGGAGGGGCCTAGACGCTCGCCGGGACCGTGGGTCGGTCTCACAGCGTAGGGCTCTGAGCGCCAGGTTTTTGCTTTTTTGTTGTGTTTCTGGAACTTTGTTTTCCAGGGAGCTCTTCCGACGGACGTGAAGATGCTGTCTTCCTGGAGGGCCACAAGGCTTTTGTGCGGTAACTGCTCTGTGTGGAGCCCGAGAAGGCGGCCAGGGTTTGATGAGTCGAACATGTTTTATCCTTTTACTCTAGAGTTGAACCGGATGCAGAGCTGGCTAATTTTATGTCAACTCCACACCAGTTGGAGTCATCAAAGAGGAGGGAACCGCAACTGAGAAAATGCCTCCATGAGATCCAGCTGTAAGGCATTTTCTTAATTACTGATTGATGGGGGAGGGCCCAGCTTATGGCGGGTGACGCCATCCCTGGGCTGGTTGGTGGTCCTGGGTTCTCAAGAGAGCAGGCTGAGCAAGCCATGGGGAGCAAGCCAGTAAGCAGCACCCCTCCATGGCCTCTGCATCAGCTCCTGCCTCCAGGATCCTGCCCTGTGTGAGTTCCTGTCCTGACTGCTTCTGATGATGAACTGTGAGTGAAATAAACCTTTTCCTCTCCGAGTTGCTTCTGGCCATGTTTTCATCACAGCTATAGTGACCCCGACGGGGACAGATGTACTTTGGAGAAGGCTGCACTTCTATAAGCGTCCTTCGGGAATGTGGGCTCATCTGTATCATTCTTGGAAGAGGTCGGGCCACCCTGACTCAGCAGGGAGTCATCGAGTCATCTACAACTGGTGGGACCCTCCTTAATGCAGCCAACACTGGACCCCTAAATCACCGGGCATTTCAAAAATGTCACATACTTTTTACCGTGGGTGTGTTTTGCCTGGCTGGCTGGCTGTGTACTGCACGTGTGTGCAGCACCCTCAGGGGCCAGAAGAGGGTGTCAGATCCTCTGGAACTGGAGTTATAGGTGGTTGTAAGTTGTCCTGTGGGTGCTGGGAATTGAACCCTGTTCCTCTGGAAGAGCTGTCAGTGCTCTTAACTGCTGAGACATCTCTCCAGCTCCCACATTCTCTCTGTGGATCTGACGACAGTCTTTTATCTCCTGCTTCACAGGCTCCACGCTCCAAGCATCTCTTTCATGAGCAAAACATGTCAGATTCCTCAACTACACCTCACAGCCTGTCTCCAGCTCCTCCTACCTCTGACCTGGACACACCCCTTGGCAGCGGGAAGACAAAGCTAAGTCCAGCACCCAGGTCTGACAGTGTTAATTCTTTCACCTGGACACCCTCCCTGTCAGTATGGTTTGAACAAGAATTGGGGTGTTCTCTTCTGATTCACATTTAGTTTTCTTACAACAGGAATCCGTTCCTTTTATCTCTGTGTGCTTTTTTTTTTTTTTAAAATTCTGTAGATGTAAATCCATCTACACTGTGTGCCATTTAAAAGGCCTAAACACAAGATTATACTTATCCCTTGTAAATGTCACCGCCTTGGATTTGCCTCCTGACTTCTTCTGTGTTCCTGTTCTGCTGTCTTTCATATGTTCAGCTCCTAAATGGACTCTGCCTACACCACACAGTGTAGCATGCGACCTTTGGCGTGGTAGTGTGTGTTCATGCACATGGGGTAACTCCCCCACTAACCAGAATTTTCTCTTGTAAATCCCCCTCTTCAGTCCTCAGGAAATGTTACTAGACTTGACTCTACCTCCCTTCCATGATGAGCACGTGACCAAGGTCTGGCCAATGGGATATGGTACCCACTTCCCATCCCTAATCGGAGAGATACCTATAGACATCCCTGGGACTTGTCCCCTGGGGGAATCTGGGAGTCTCCAGGAGAGAAGCACTGCTGTTCTGTCCAAGTGTGCTGCAGAGAGGGTGGAAGTGTGGCCCCACTCCTGGTGGGGTCACACCCAGGAGTCCTGGGGTGGGCAGGGGTATCCCAAGGGAGGTAGAAGTCCCTTAGCCAGTCTGTGGAGGCTCTTAGGTGATTGTGCCCCCCCCCCAGCACTGTGTAAGTGGGGTATGGTGGTGCTGAGATCTCACTGTTGGAGAAAAATGCAGTTGGTTTCAATGCATTTGTACAATAAACTCAAGAGTCACCAATAATGTTAAGGGAAGACATCAAAGCACTTCCTCCTGGGGTCATTTGACCGAGATTGAGCTCAGATTGTGGAATTATCTACCTCCCTCTCCCTGGGTTTTCCTTCTGTCCCCTGCCTGCCCTGTGAATCTGTCCCTGTCCCTGTGTGTCTGCAAATCTGTCTGTGTGTCTGTCCCTCAGGCTGTCTTGTGAATCTGTCTCTGGGTCTGTGTCTGTGTGTATGCAAATCTGTGTGTCTGTCCCTCACGAAGGGATTCGCTCTGTCTTTATCGAACAGCAAAGCAAGCATCACATGGTGAAGGAATGGGATGCTTTACAGAAATCTTCAGCAGAGTTTTACAAGGGATTAAGTCACTGGGTCCAACAGATCCCAACTGACCCAGATAGCAAATATCACTGTTTATCAACTGATAATCCAAGTGTTGTGTTTAACGTTTATGGCGGATATTCATTTTAGGAGGTTTCTTTCAGCCTCTATTTTTGCCGCTTTCAGCAAATTGCTTCTTAGAACTTGGATGCATTACTCTGGGTCAGGGCCACGGAAAGAGCGCATAATTTAAGATTACAGCTTCCCATTAGCTCAGGCTGTAAAAGTTGATTACATGGGAAATCCAAGGCAAGTAAGGTTGGCTGTTCCAGTGTTCTCATAAAGGCAGATTAAAAAGACAGGCTGCAGACACAGTAGGGCAGTGGTCTTAAGTCTTACATGACCTCCGGGTGTCACACTAACTCGGCTGTGAGGCCCAGCAAAAGTTCCAGCCTCTTAGCATGTAAGAGATATAGATTTTTTTTTATTATAATGAAGCTGCCACAGAAAAACTGGAGAGGTTGAGACAGAGGGGTCAGAAGGTCAAGGTCATCGGGCTACGTGGTGACTCTAAGACACCGGAGAAGAAAACAATCAAGCTCACTCTCCCTCCTTTCTGAAATTTTTCTTTTTGGATCTTTTGATTCCTTTGCTTCCGAAGATTGAGGGGTCCGTTTCCAGGGCACTTGTGGCTATTCCATTTGGATTCTAAAGTTTAAATTTGAAGCTAACATTTGCCTCCTTAGGTGGGGGTGGGGGGTGGGGGGGTGGGAGGGGAAAAGCCCTTCAGCTCAAGTTCTGGATCCTGAACATGGAGGCATGTGGCAGGAGCTCGTTAAGTAAAGCCCTGGCCCCAAGACTTGAGTTAAAGTTTCCAGAGCCCATGGAAAAGTTGTCTGTGGTGACAAGCACCTGTACTCCTGGTGATCCTCCTGTGAGGTGGGATCAGGAGGGAGGAGAGGAGACAGGGGCGTCCCCAGAAACTCTGGGCCGGCTAGCCTGGCAGAGATCCTGTTTGAACCAAGGTGGAAGGTGAAGACTGACACCCAATGTCACCCTCTGTCCCTTACACACCTGCTCTGACACACCCGTACCCACACCTGTGAACAGACAGACGCAGATTTCTTTTTAAGTTGGTATGTGGCTCTTCATGCTTTTTGGGTGGTCCATGATCCCTTGAGAATTTGCTAGAATCTATGTGTGACCTCTCTCCAGAAAAGCAGACCCAGCACTATGCATGAGACCCGGGGCCTTGCACACGCTAGGCCAGTGCTACCCCGCTGTACACAGCGGTCGTTTCCCTCAATTCCAGGTCCTGCCTTGTGAATTCACTGACTCTCCTCTCCTGGCTTCTGATAGCATCTGACTTTCCCACCTATGGCTAAATCCAAGCACGACACATGTTTATAAACAGAATATCCGCGAAGGAAGATCAGAATGAAACTGGGCAAGACGGCGCGTGTCTTTCATCCCAGGGCCCGGCAACAGAGACTGGAGGATGGCTTTGAGTTTTAGGCTAGCCTGGGCTATGACTGGGAGATCTTGTTTCCAAAATGAAAAAAAAAAAAAAAAAAGAATAGCCATCTGGAGGGATAGCTTAGTGGGTAGGAGCACTTGCTGCCCTTACAGAGGACCTCGTGGCAGAGGATCCACACCCTCTTTTGTCCTCCGTGGGCACCTGCTCTCAGGTGGTACACACACACACACACACACACACACACACACACGCTTAAGATAAAATAAATATTTTTTAAATGCAAAACCAAAACAAAACTTACCAAACAATCAGAAAACTTTGGACAGAATGGAAATGGTTTGTCTAAACTCATCAGGTTAAAGAGAAAAGCCTTTTAGTTCCCTGGGTGTGGCTGCTCTTAGCCACAAACCACGTACCTTCCAAGCTGAGACACTTGCCTGGGTCTTCCCACACTGGGAAGTGCCTTCCCACACTCACCAAAGTGCCAGAGCCTCCTCCCTTTGGAACTCTCCGCTCAGCGCCATGGGCCGCTACACTGGCTCCAGCCTATCCTGCCCATGATGTGCAAAGCTTAATGGAATGCACTCGAGTGTGGGGAGTCAGTCTAGGGAGAGAAGGTCCTCATTTTCAGGAAAGGTCTGGGAAGACCCAGAGAGAGGTGACCGATGGCTGAGTCATTGGACACTGCAGTGGACAAAAAGCAGAACTGAAGCCATGCTTAGGCAACACTTGTGGCCATAGGAAGCTGCTGTCCACCTCAACTTGGTCTTGAATAGTTGAAAGATGCATTAGCTGTCTGAGGCCCACGGGGGCCATTAAAACTGCCACCAGGGCCTGGGGAGAAGATTCTGGGGGTTAGGTGCTTCCGGCTGGGCAAGTGTGAGGGTCCTGAGTTCAGATCCCCAGCACCCACCTACAAGCTGGGTGTCCTGTACCCTGGCATTCCCAACACTGGGGAGGCTGGGACTCACTGGCCAGGCAGCCTAGCCTCCTCAGTGAGTGCCAGGTTCAGTGAGAGACCCTGTCTTAAAAACCAAAATGGATGTCATCCGGTACACACACACACACACACACACACACACACACACACACAAAAGCCGGCCACCGCTCCAGGGCTGACCTTGCTCATAGTCCTCTTGCGGCTTTTCCTTGCATCTGTGACGGTGACTACCACCCCTGGTTGTGCCAGGCAGCTGTCGGACTTGGCCGAGATTGTCTAAAAGTCAGGTGTTGGGGGTGGAAAGCCACTCACAGTGGGAGATTCGGGTGCACGGGCACAAAGTCACGTGTCTCCCCTAAAGAGCTGAGGCTCCTTCGACAGCAGCACCCAGGACAGACGCTGCAGTCTGCTGTGCTCAGCTGGGCAGGCCCTTGCACTGGCTCCAGGCACCAGCTTTCCCAGCAGGGATTCCCACACCTTGATCTTCTGCATCAGGAGGATGCCTCCCAGGCTGCAAGTTGCCAGAGGCCTTGGAAAGCCTGGCTGAGGGTCTTGGAATGGCAGCCTCCCAGGAGAGTAGGGTGGGCTCTGAGGGGATCCCTCTCACTCCCTGGTGCTGGGACCACAAGGCAGTGCCACCACGCCTGGCTTTTCATGTGGGATCAAACTCAGGTCCCCGTGCGTATATGGAAAGCACCTTTCCATTGAGCTGTCTGCCAGACCATTGTTACGTTTGCAGACCACACTTAGCAAAGCAGGATGGAGTCTGGGAGGGTAGCTTGGCAGTGAATGGTGCTTGCTGCTCTCCCAGAGGACCTGAACTCAGTTTCCAGGGCCCGCATCAGACAGCTCACAACGACCTGTAACTCCAGCTCCAGGAGTTCTGGCCTCCGAGTTCGCTTCACTTGTGTGCACAAATGCACACGCACACACATCACTGAAAATAGAAATAAAATCTTTCAATGAACAATCGTGAACAAGAGGGTGACAGGTATATGATCCAAACACAGCACTGCGGACCTGAGTGTAGGTCAGACGCGTCTGTGTTCCTATCCCGGCTGAGTGACCTTGGGCAAGTTTCTTGATGTCTCTGGGCCTGAGTCCCCATCTGTGAAGCACAAATTAAAAATAATAGTATCTATATTATGGGAGCGTGAAAATGAAATGACACCATAGGTAGCACAGAGCCTGACAGGGGGTTTTTTTTCTTTCTTTGTTTGTTTGTTTGTTTGGTTTTTTTTTTTTTTTTTTTTTTTTGGTTTATCTAGACAGGGTTTCTCTGCGTAGCTTTGAGCCTTTCCTGGAACTCACTCTGTAGCCCAGGCTGGCCTTGAACTCACAGAGATTCGCCTGCCTCTGCCTCCCGAGTGCTGGGATTAAAGGCGTGCGCCACCACCGCCTGGCTGAGCCTGGCAGATTTATTTTACATTCACAAATATTTATTTATTGAGCAATACTGTATGCAGATGGTATTCTAAGTGCTGAAGGTGTAACCAGGGGTAAAACTGACACAAAGTCGTGTCTTCTTAGCCCGGACATCAGCTGGATTTATCCAGGAACTGGGAGCTCAAGGTGACTGCTTCCCCAGTGTACGGTGACAGGAAGCCCCAGTGCAGAGCAGGAACACTGAGGTGGGGAGAAGAGGGCAGCCCATGCGGGTAGCCATGGTGCCTCTCTTAGGGACTGTCTTTGGCGAGGGCATGTGAGCCACAGAACGAACATCCCTAATCCAGAAACCTAAAATCCAAAATGTTCTGAACTTGGAAGCTTTCTGAGCACATGCATGATGTCACACACCACGCGTTTCCGCACCCGACCTTGTAATGGGCCAGCAGACAGGTGCACCTCAGCTCCTGGGACCAGTCCATCCATTTCGGTAGCCGGCTTACCGATTGGGTCGCTTGATTTCTTGGTATTTAGTCTTCTGAGTTGTTTGTATGTTCTAGATATCAATCTTCTTTTAGATTGCAGCTGGCAAAGACTCTCTCCCATCCCGTGGGTTGCCTCTTCACTCAGCTGTTTCCTTTGCTGGTTGGAAGCTTTTGAATTTCATGAAAGCCCACTCATTGGCTCTTGTCTCTGTTTCCTATCCGAATCTTCTGCAGAAAGACCCTGCATGTGTCTATATCTTGAAGTGGTTTCTGTGGTTTTTCCCTTGACAGTTTTAGAATTTTAGGTCTGCCATCGAGGCCTTTGATGCATTTAGAATTGCCAGTAGACATGTGAAAATGTTCAACACTACTAGCCATCAGGGAAATGCAAATTGAGACCACATTGAGATTCCCTCCGGCTCCAGCCAGAACGGCTGTCATCAAGAAAACAAAGAGCAGCGAATGTTGGCTGGCGAGGATGCGGAGAGAACGGAGCCCTTAGATACGGCTGGCGGGAATGTGAGTCACTGCAGCCACCGTGGAAATCAGGATAGAGGTTCCTCAAAAGGCTGGGAACAGAACTTCCCCGAGACCCAGCTACACCACTCCGATGTATTTGTTCAAAGGAATCCAAATTAACACCCCAGAGATACCTATGAATGTGTGATAGTTTTAGCTGTCAACTTGATACAGAGGAGGAGCCTCAATGAGGGGTTGTCTGCATCGTGTGAGCCTGTGGGAATGTCTGTGGGGATCGTCTTCATGCGGTTGACTGATACAGGAAGACGCTGTCACTGAGGGTGGAACCACTCCCTAGGCAGGGGGACCGGAACTGTGTAAGAGAGGAGCGATGGAGCTGAGCACAAGCCAGGGAGCGTGCGTCCACTCATCTCTCTCTGCTCTTGGCTGTGGATGCAATGTGTCCACCTGTTGGGAGTACCTATCATTGCGATACTCCCCGCTATGACAGACTACAACCTGGAACTACACCCTGAAACAAGCCCCCTTCGTCCCTAAGTGTTTTTTTTTTTTTTTTTTTTTTTTCAGGATGTTTTTTCACAACAGCAGGAACGAAACCAGGCCACCACCCGCGTTTACTGTAGAGCTGCTCCTAAGAGGCGAGTTGTGGAACCAGCCCAGGCATCACCCACAGGAAGCACAGTGAAGAAAATACAGTCTCTAGACACAAAGGAAAACGGAGTTATGTCATTTGCAGGAAAATGGTACAACTGAGGACGGCCACGTTTAGCAAATTAAGTCAAACTCAGAAAGACAAATATTGAATGTTTCTCTCGTTGGTG